CATTCCTAAAAGTCAGATTGTTATTTCTTTTTATTACTTTTAAATAATTTTGGCTTTGATTCATAGTTTACATCATCAAAACAGTAAACTTGAAATCTATACATAACATACAGTAATAAGTGCCACTATATAAAACATTTGCCAAAAAAATGCACACCTCTAACTTCGATCTGTGGGCTCTGTTGAGGTACATGACTAGGTGTTTTGTATGTCATAAGGTCAATACACACATGGTTACGCCTTGATACATTACATGCAGCCTTTATGTTTGCAAATAGACTGATACAAAATCAGTAGACTTAAGAGTATTCATAGACAAACAGTCCTTACAAGTCTGTTTAAGCACCTGGCATAGCTATGCTAAATAGCTTTTCCAAACTATCATTCATCCCTGTACTATATTACAAGTATACACACAAGCACAATTTTATACACATATCTCACTTCTGGTAAGAAAAGAAAAGCTGAGAATGTCCATTTCAATGTAAATTAAATATTAAATATTTTAACAATAATATCATGATTTTGTTTAGCTCTTGCTGTGTTCACAGAGTTTACGATTGGTTTTCATCCTAGCACACCTTGAAATTCAATGAGAAGATCTGCTGGTTGTAATTTCTGAATCTTACAATGTCATGTAAGTCTTTATTTTAATTTCACACACAGGTCGTCTGTGTTTGCTGGTTTATGTGCGTAACAAAATACTGCACCAACATTAGTAGTAATTAACTATGATGTCAAACTAATTATTAGAAGTCTTCGCATTGTTTATTCTAAAAGCAAATGAAATGCTTGTGATATGTAAAGGACAGCTTAGTAAATAAAAAAGTGCAAATAGGTTTATAATTATAATAATATAATTTATAAAATGTTTTCCTTCAGAATTTATAAATAAAATATTTTATCCTGTGATACAATGTACATAGTCCAGTTGTTAACTGAATTTCTCCTGAGGCGTTAATTCAGTAATACTCTTAAGTTTAAGTGGCTCTTCATTTTCATTTTTTGGTGTATATCCGTGGCGAACTGAACTCTGAGCTTGAATGGTCTCACCCATCTTCATTATGGCATCCACATGCACCTCAGGAATAGCAGGATATAACACTGCTGGTCTACAACAAGTGAAAAGTAGCATGATTTAAACAAAAATAATCAGTAACATCTCTGTACTAAGGATGTTTCTGATATGAGAACTCTAAGAAATCACAGATGAATGCTACATATCTCTTATTAACCAGGCATGAGGGCCATACTAGGAGAATATCAGCCTGAGGTCTTGACAGTATGGACCAAGCTAGTCGTGTGATAAAGGTATGTTGCAATCTGGGAAAGAGAGAACATGTTATTGCATGCTGTAGTTTGTACTTACCCTATTTGATTCTTCTTCATCCTTCTTATCAATTTGTAATGACTTAATTCTGGATGCCTGTTTTTCCGTGTTATTCTAGAAAAGAGGAAGAGAGACAGTTATTTACAATACTGCTCTAGCTGCTTTGAAACTTCATGTGGTCCTGTGTTGTTTGTAACAGACAGTCTTCACATGATTAATGACAACTTGGTGCATAATAAAAAAAATTATTCTTACAGTAGATAAAAACTAATCAAAGGTTCATTAAGCCAACTCATGATATTTGATATGAACATGTTCATGTAATACATAATAATTATAACAAGGGGGTTAAAAAGATTTTGAGGAGTTTGTAATTTTCATGGCACAGCTTCAAAGTTCCTCATGTATAATTCATCATTTGCAGGTTGGCAAAGCAGTAGGTTTTCAGATGCATGCATAAATTATCTGAAGGTTGCAATTTCGACTTCTGATATGGCCTGGACATTTTTTCTCCAGATGCAGAACTACTAATGGATAGTTTACTCACGCAGGATTGGAAAACTGTCAAGCTATAAAGTAAAATTAATGGAAAATACACAAAAGAAATGAGACTGAATGGAGAATTGAAATAGTTTGCAGAAGAAAAACACTTTTTGAGCGTGAAACCCTCCTACACGATTTTTGGCAATGCTTCATTTAAAAGGTGTCAAAACTACATTGTATCATTTGTTGTGTACCAAATAGTCTTTAATTTGGAAGCACTTGTTCAGTTGAACATCACTTTGGCAGCCATTTTGGGTCTGCTAAATCTGCGAGCCAGTGAGCCAGCGAGCCATGCGAGCCACGGTGTGAGCCATGCGAGTCATGTGAGTCATGCGAG